GGGAGCGTGCCGGGTGGGTATCCGCACGGCGGATGGCACGGGCGGCGCGTTTCAATGGCCGGAGAACGTGGTGTATCTGAGGATGCCAGGAAGGGGGCTGGCGGGAGACGCAGGACGCAGTCTAGGGAATTTGGAATGGTGACGCGCACCGGGAGCCGCCGGCACCCTGGTGGCTGAGCCCTCCAGGCTCCCGCCTTTTGCATCGAGCATCCGGGAGGCAAAGCTCACCTGAAGCTGCCCTTCCAGGTTTCCATAGCAACCGGCATCCGCTGCGGGCGGCCCTTCCAGAGCTAGCGGGGAGGGAGCAGTTGATGTAGAAAAGATGATTTTGAAAAGCTCTTCACTCCTCTCTCTGCTGGTAGGGACACATTTAGTGAGTGAGAGTAGAGAGAGCTCACATTCTGTCTCATCCCTGCTCATGATAGCTAGGTTTCCCTCTGAAGTAAATGCAAAATGTGGCATGTGTGTGCATTTTCTGAGGTCAGACTGCACATTCCATTCTATTTATAAAAGGGTCCATTACCTCCACTCCTCCACAGAAATGGTTCAGTGTGGGTAAGCTTGACTTTACAGAGTCTGTGTCCAGATGTCAGTTGGCTCATGCTTCATGCTTGCTTCTCCGTGTCTCTTTTCATCACCTAGGAAACACTTGCAAACTTGGAGAGACAGATCTATGCTTTTGAAGGAAGCTACCTGGAAGACACTCAGATGTATGGCAATATTATCCGTGGCTGGGATCGGTATCTGACCAATCAAAAGTGAGTGTCGGAATCTAGTAGTATCCGTTTTATCCCCTACTAACATTTATCTGTAGGGTTTTTATTTTGTTTTCTTTTTTTAAAACATGGTCTTACCATGTAGCCCTGGCTAGCCTGGAACTTAGTAAGTAGTTCAGGCGACCTCAGACTCACAGATTAATTACAAAGCTCCTTCTCCCTCTGACTCCCAATTGCTGGATTTAAGGGTACGGACTGCCTTTGCACAGCTTGGGATGTTCTTGGTATCCTCTTTGTAGGGTGTCGGTAATAGAGTCGC